GTTTTTGGCCTTTTGTGCATGTGAAGAGAAATGCAGCGAGGGCCTTGGGGACATCCGTTAAAATTGGAACGATCCAGAAGATTAATTAGCATGGCCGCTGTGCACTCAAGGATGATACGCAGATATCGAGAAATTGTCCAAATTAAAAAATAAATTGAAATGCAGCGAGGACCTTTGTAGAGTAGGCACCTTGTTGCGCTTACTCGCCAGCCTTGGTGCGACGAAACGTGTCAGAACTTTTCCCTTTCCCGAGTCTCCTTTTTCAATCCGCCACACAGTGTGGCCACTTTCCTACTCTCCCTTTTTTTTTTTAGTCATCGCTGCGCACGGGCCATGCTAATCTTCTCTGTATCGTTCCAATTTTAACGGATGTCCCGAAGGACTTCCTACTCTCCTTTGGAGAACGGTAGTTCTGCCACTTTACGGCGCGCGGCCGGTAAAGTTGCGCCGATACGTTTCCAAACAGGTGTTTCTGCAAATTGCTACGATATTTGCACTTAAACCCTATTATACCCATCGCATTCCGTCAGGCATTCAAATTTGTATGGAGGCATCGCGGCACCACTCGCCAAATGTGCGAAACAGAGCATGTACGGCCCCGCGCTGCTCTACACCTGGAATCTCCAAAAAATGGAGCATGTACCTTCCGGTAGAACGTAGAGAGATGCACGCGACATAGGTTTTCTGTTTTACAAATTCTCTCACTGGTGCGTCGATGGCGATGGCCGTACTCTCTCTCTCTCTCGCGGTTGAAAGTTGAAATACCCACTCTGCACAGCTCGTCTCTTTCACATGCTGGAGAGTGGTTCAGTGAGGCCCATGATCTGTTCATCAGGGGCCCTGTCCCACTAGCGGGGGTTTAGTTTATGATTCGTATATTATTCAACGTGGTCACATTGTGGCCGTGAGATTTTCACATCCGATAGCAGGGAGCCATGTATACTCGAAAGCAGAACTAAACCTTGGCAAGTGGGACATGGCCCCAGGGCTTGAACCTGTGTGCGGCTCACAAAAAAAAAAAAA